ACGTCTTTGCATTTATCATCATGTAAATTTTGATGAATGCTTCAATCAAGCATTCACACTAGTCAGAAACCTCACAAACTTATTTCGAAGAATTCCTCCTGGGCGATAAAAATTTCAAGTTGGTTCGACAATCTTGAATTCAGCTAGAACTTCTCTGAAGTTACTCGTGCTCGAGAGTTAATAGGATTCAGAAACGTGTTGCGCGTCTAAAGAGTTTGGCAACTCGTTGAACATGTCACGCCCTAGTCATTAAAATCTCCAATCCAAGTGGAAGCGGCCATGAGGAACAGATGGGAGCATCTGCCAAACGTTCCACCTTATATACCCCATCTTAAATCTCAAGCGTGATCACTTCAAATTTTAAAAACACCCTGAGAGAAGAAATGTTTAATATTTATGAGTATAACACTGAGACATTGCTGTACCTCCTGATGGATTTCATGATAGAATAACTATGAAGTAGAAACTCCATTTTTATAGTTATTACTATTATAATGTTAGTAATAATAATCAATATTGCACTTAAATAACTTATTAAAAATTATCTAGATAAGAATAAGATAAATTATATGTAAATTATATGTAACATATCTTAGGTAAGATAAAGACGATTTCATTATTTATATTTATATAAATAATCTATTTATTAAAAGGAGATTTAAAAAAGATTTTAAAATCCTATAATGAGATGTGCTCAAGTCGCTACTCATTAAGATCATGTGAAAAAGATAATACTTCTTTTATCTGAGATAAGGATGAAGATAATATCTAATAATCTAGATAAAGATAAGATGAAGTCACTTCTTTGTCTAGATAATTAACTAGATATTTTGTAGAGATAACAGCAAATACTATATAATTATATTTACGATTATACAAAAAATATATCTTATAATTGCAATCATTTCTTTCTTTCAGTGTATTCTTTATTTCAAATACGTGATAATTATCTTGAGACAGTTATTATTTATCATTAACGTTTATTTCAAGGAAGGAAGGAATTAAATCGCAAAAGATCTGGATTAAAATAGCACAGAAAAAGAGTGAATATGTCGAATGACCAATCGCGGGGATTATTATATTTATTATTCATGGGTCTTCAACCGGAAATTTTTTGCCTGCTTATTCCTGTCGGCACTCATTAGCACGTGTTTGCTTTATTCATGTGCCGTCGCGCATGATTACGATCGCAGCTTCTCCGAGTTCATTCAGACCATCACTTAACCCACAACAGTTGATCTTCCAGTATTCGATATGAATGCGCCTAACAATGTCCCTATCTGTCATATCTTCAATAAATTTGTATTCCTCTGGTGTATCGTATATATAAATCTTATCTCTATCGTTGGTTTTCACTACCTAAATTTCCTTCCGAATTCTCAGAAAGTTTCGCGATAATAACAGGAAGGAGGAAAGTGCTCCAATTTGCATATCATTAATTATAGACTACAATAAAATCCTGCTTTCTTTTCGTACTTTATCATATTTCATCGTTCCACTTTTTCAGAATCTTGAGATGTAGAAACATCTCAGATGTAGAAACTGAAAATTCAGAAATTTTATTTTTTTTCAAAAAATAAAGAAATCTTTATTTCTAGATTACATTATATAATTTATGCTATTTAAAATTTGTCACAAATGTCTTCTTTAAGAAATTAAGTTAAAATTTAGAGGTAAAAGTCGACAAAAATATTCTTCAAGGAATGTGCTACTTTAATTAAATGTATATCATATAACATCTTGTGTTAAGGTTTCAGAGCGGCCTCAGAGAAAGTATCACTTTACGGAACATGACATCACAAAGGTGCACTTCACGCTTCATAAGTAGGGGTTCTTATCGTTAAAAAAGACAATAAAATTACAAAGGCGATAAATCTCATTCAGTAGAATGACAAAAAGCTGCGCATTATTAGCTTACAAACGTCTACATTTGAAAATTTTCAAGTCAGATTAATATTAGACCGGTGCAGCGACGATCTATTTTTGATGATATTTATTCTCCATTTATTATTTTATTTTAATTCGAAATTGTAAATTTTTAATGTGTGTCTAAATTTACCTAGTACCATTTTATGTACATATTAAATTTATAAAATCGCCAACTTCTTTCTCATATAAATTAAATTAAACGTTTAAACAATATTTAAACAATTATAAATTAAATTAAATATTTAAACAAAACATTCACTGGCAACGAGGTCAAGCAAATCAAAAGTTTCGATTCTAATTAGCTGCTTTAGAGAAAATTTATTAAAATTAAAATGTAAGCGTCGAGTGTTAAATTCATGTGATTGAAGCAACTTAATATTTAATATGTACATTTTAATGTTCATAAATCTTCTACAATAAAGCGGTCAATCAGAATCGAAACCTTATCGATTTACTTGGCCCCGTTACCGGCCAATTTGTTTGCTAATGAGTCACACGACCATTGCAAGCCGCAAGGACTCTCGCCTCGAAACGTTTCACCGCAAGGACCAATATTCCGGGGTTTGTCAATATTGACCAGAGAATCACATAAGAGGCCGCGCCACGGGATTGGTCGGCCTTATTTTTCAAGCCGCTCCTCTCGAGATTCAGTCGTATGCGCTCGGTGTCTCATCTTGTTATACGGCAAGTACTTAGCAAGGGCGAAAGTGCAGAGGGTGAAGTGTAAGGGTTGCGAGGGAAAAACGGTCGACTGCGCGTGGGAGGTGGTGGAGGATGGCCGAGTGCTTCTCCTGAGCGCGCCAAGAAGTAGAAACTCTCGCCGACCCAGCGATCTTGACACAAGTTAAGCGACGGATCGGGCTATGGCGCAATTATTTTCACGCTTTGTCACACGAATGTCCTTAATCTAAATTTTCGTTTCGTGCGAGAATGTCTTCGAGAGCAAACGCGACGAATTTAACGTACACTTTAAATCGCGAATATCGTTTGACCGTAATAGCAAAATGTTTCTCCGCTTCCCAAAAATTTGTGACGATCACGGAGGTCCGCCAAATCAATCAACGCCTCATACTTGACATCTCAAACGTGTTTTGTTCTACAATTAAAAGATTTGTTCTTTCTCTTGTAGAGAATTTCTTTTAGTTTGTAATTAGAATAGATAATAATCAGAATTTATTTCCAAATATGCATTATTCAGCTAAGTGCCAGAATCAGATTAATGCGAGGAAATTTTATAAACTCAGCACGAGCATGAATAAATGCTCCAACCACAAAGCCGCATGAAAGTTTGCGAAATTCAGAATATAAGCACTTCTTGACACATGAAGTTTTTTATTTGATTCATAATATAATGAGAAATTTATAATTAATAATATAAAAAAGTGGTCTACGAATGAAAAGTAGTTTATGAGGGTACTTAAAACAAAATTTTTATTGATAAAAATCATTCCACAAATTTTTTGTATCCTTTCTCTTACCCAGAAATTCAACGCGATTCATTAATTTTTTACTCGTAAAAAATAATAAGAAATGAATAAAAAATAATTATAATTTAAAAAATTAAAATTTTTTTACATTTTAAGACACATAATTTCTATGAACCTATTATCTCTCTCTCTCTCTCTCTCTCTCTCTCTCTCTCTCTCTAATAAGACCTATTCGCTATTTGCAAGTAATTACATAGAATTTAACTATGTAACTATCACAGTGAATAGCATTAGTATGTCTTACAAACTGTAATTTGTTTGCATCAGTTAATTACTTAGTTTGTGCATTCTGTTGTTATCAAAGAAGCCAAATGTAGAATGTTGGTGAATTATGGTCGTTATCTAAATATATTTCAAAAATAATTTATTATTCTCTATAACTATCAAAGTATGGTTATTAATTTCAGCAGTTCATATTATTGTTGATCTTTATACTTTACAATACTGTATTTAGTTTATATATTTTCGTCACAAAGTTTTGTTTATAACTTAAAGAAAGGAAACTCTTAATAAGGTTGAACCAACATAGTAAACCTAGGCATATTGAAGGCAAATACTCTTATCGATTATACAGTTCTTTGATACTTTTATATAAAGATTATGCGTTTCGCGGGTTTCCTCCGTGTCCAGATCCATTCTTGTTCCCCACATTTCGTGAACCTTGCAGTTCACTTCATCAGGACGAGGAGCAGTCTGATACTGAGCTGTTCCTCCGGACCGTTCCTTTTATATTACGCTACTTGTTGGAGAGATGGGAGAAAAGAAGAGAATTGTGGGTGGGGGGAAGTGGGGGAAATTGATCGGTCTTCAATAACCGGGAGAATGGTTTTCCATATTTATGTTGTAGTTATTATCTCTATTTAAATTGTTAGGGTGTTTGGTATCTCTATGGCTTCTCTATACTTTCTTGGAAAGTATGATATAATGTTGGCTATTGTGGTCGTTTTGTTAAACAATATTTGATGTCCTGTTGTGTTCTGATAATGCTGATTGCGTAACGTGTTTTACCCTCACGTTGGTGTTCTTTTATCTGTAGATTGATCATTCTTCCGGTTTCTCCAATGTATACTTGCACACAGGAATAAGGTGTTTTGTATACTCCTGCGAAGCTGAGTGGAGATCTTTGACCTTTAGGATTTCTTAAGATTTGTTCTATCTTTTTGGGTGGTTTAAAGAAGATAGTTCGGATATTGTGTTTGTTTAATATCCTACTAATCCGATTTGTTGTTTTTTTGACATATGGAGAATGGATACCTTCCTGATTGTGTCAGAGACCGTTGTCTTATTTGCACGTTTATTAATTGTTTTGATTATGTCTTTTTTGTCGTGTCCGTTTTTCTGTAAGGCTAGTCTTAAGTAGTTGAATTCTATAGATATTCTTTGTCAGAGATGATGAAAGCTCCATGTACAAGTGAATTGATTGCAAACTGTTTTTGTATTGAATAGTGGTGCGACTCGGTATGTAGATATCTATCTGTTTTCTGTACACTTGATGGCCAAAGGTACTATCAACTTTTTTAGTGACAAGAAAATCTAGGAAGAGGAGTTTTCTTCTATGTCTATAGTGAAATGGATATTTGGATGTTAATTGTTGAGGAAAGTAAGGAATTTACGAAGTTCGGCTCTGCCGTGTCTCCATATCACGAATGTGTCGTCTACATAACGGAACCAAACTTCGAATTTTTTGAATGTTTTTCTGAGGGCCTCTTTCTCAAAATGTTCCATGAAGATGTTGGCAATTACAGAAATAGGAGAGCCCATTGCCGCTCCTGAAGTTTGTTCATAAAATTGGTTGTTATAGGAGAAGTAAGTGGTTGTTAAGCAGTGCTTTATTAGCGGGATGAAGTCGGAGGATGAAGTCACGTCATATAAGGCCTTTATTATGTTTAATGTGTCTTTTATTGGGACTTGTGTGAAAAGGGATTCTACGTCAAAACTTACAAGCAGGTCTGTGGGACGTAGTTGAATTTGTTGGATCTTTTGTATGAAGTCCGTTGAGTCAGTTATGTGTGATTCGTATTTTTCAGGGGTTGTAGTGTTTGTGCTAGGAAGCGGGATAAGTTGTATGTCGGGAAGTGTATGGCGCTGACAATCGGTCTGAGGGGAATGTTTGATTTGTGTACTTTTGGTCTTGGTAGTGTACTTGGTGGGACAGGATTTGTAGGATCTTTTTATGTTGATTTCACTGGGAATGTTGCTTTTTTCCACTAGGATCTTGGTATTCTGTGCAATTGTATTAGTTGGATCTTTGTCAAGCTTTTTGTATGCTTTGTTCGAGAGAAGATTCTTTTTCTTGTAGTCTTTGACACTTTTGTTAATTCAAATCATGGATTTTAATTCAAATTATAACGATGTAAGGAATAGACTAATGAAGAGGCATTGTAAATGATGCGCAGATTTAAATGTATAAAAACCTCTTTATTAAGTGAACATTTCGACTCTTCGAGTCACCTTCAGCATAAAAAATTTAAAAGTGAACCCCCAGTGTAAAACCTTCCAGTCATCTCAGGCATTATCAATCACATAGTAGTTAATTAATCACATGACATTAATAACGACTGATCGGCGGCTGTCATTTCTCTTCTAAGGATCCGAAATAACTACTTAAAAATTAACAACTAAATCTGCAACTATTTCAAATAAAATTCATGAATCATTTTCATGAATATATGTAAAAATTTTTTGGTAGTTTCATGGTCAAATTAAAAAATTTATATCTCTTCTAATCCATCTATTAAACATTGTAGAGATAAGTAGATGAGTAAATAAATAAATAAATCATTCCAGCTGAGATAATTATTACAATTAATTAACTTATTCATAATTTTTAAGATACTTAAATTAGCATCAAATTATTAATATTCTTCTAAGATGTTTATAAACAAAATTATTAAACTGTTTGTAAAGTGAGCAGTTTATAATTTTGCTAATAAGCATCTTAGAAGAATATTAATAATTTGACGCTGATCTAATATTGTAATATTATAATATCACAATAATATGATATTATTATTATTCTAGTTCTGTCCATGATCGCGTTTCAAGAAAAAGATTTCGGTGCGCGGTTTGCAGAATTGGATATGCACATGAAATCACTCTTAAATTTAAGCATTAAAATTCGCTTCAAATAAAAAATAATTCACTTCTCTTAACTGAAATAAATAAGTCAGTTGTTTATTAGAAAATAAGTCTTTATGTATTATTACATGTCAATAAGGATGTCAATATGTTAATAAATTTATAATTTTGTAAAAGTAACATTAAATTGCTTTATTTTCCATTTCTCTAATATTTTTATACGATAAAAAGGAAAATATACACTTAAGCTATATTGAGTACACGAGTATTCAATATAACCTAAATGTTATGTTTTTAAATCTTCACTGCAACATAAATATTTCAAGATATACTTTTAATTAATATTTTAAATGTTTCTTGCTTTGAATTTGACTACTAGTTATTAATTACGAACGCAGCAAAAAATTTGAAAAAAATCGCAAAGCTTAGATAAGTCATATTGACTGTAGTTTACTTTAAAATAAGTTGCATGTTAAAAGCGAGGAAAAAGTTTTGTAATCTCCAATAACTTTTACACGATCCATCAAGAGATCCACACTATTTACGCATCACATTATCAGGCAAAGCACTTACATTATGTAAACGTGATGGTTAAATTCAGAATGAAATCACGCGAAACAAATAAATGTTTGCCACGTCAAGCGGAAAAGAACGACGTTTTTTGCTCATTCTATCTCTTTTCCAGACTCTTTTCCAGATAACAGACTAATCTTCGACTTGTCGACTAATTCATTTAAATGCAGGGTAGAAATATGGCGAAATAATCGAGCGAATTAATGTCTGGCTCGATTCATTTAGTCGGGAATCTGACTCTAATAAAAGCCAAATGGCATACGAAGGAGACTGCGAAGTGTCAGCCGCTCTCAGCAAGTGTCGTTATCATTAGTTCGTGAACAAAATCTAAAATCGCGACTGAACATGTCGGGGGAAATTGAATATCGCGTCGTCATTTAATCATATATCAACCAATATAAGCTATTTTTAAAACTTGATCTTGCAAATGAGCAGAGCGAACAGAAAACGATGAGACTGACGAGTTTCAATTAACATTAATCGATATATGCCACAAGTTTCTAAAACCAGAAAATATTTTAAAGTTAGCAGTTCTTAGATGAAAGGCACGTAAAGTTAGTCAATCAAGATGCCAATCATCTTGACATTTAAGATTCGTCCAAATGCCAAAAGCTATTTAATTTACTGTATCTGCTAACCAATTAATTTAGAAATCGGATTCAAACCGGAGAATTATTATTTCAACATTTTCGTCTCGCAATGGATGTAAAATTGAATATTGCGCTCTCTTTACGCGGGGCTACTGCACGTACCGATGCCTCGCAAACCACGTCAGCCACGTCACACTATTTCGGGAGCACTCAGACGCGATGCCTTTAAATAACTATGGACGCCGACTGACGCAGGAACTGACACCGCTTAACGATAAGCGACATGTCGCTCCGTCCGACAATTCGTTTAAAGTTTTAAACGCGACCGATTCGGATTCAATTCGCAGCTTCACGTTCACCTTGCGGATGCAGGAAATAAAAGAAACGTTCAACCGAGGAATAAACGTTCGGAATTTGAAATCCTCAAGTAACTTCGGATCTACGCTCTTTTGAAATTTTATCTACGTATCTTCAGAGCTTCGCGATGTAGTGCTCTCATGTTCCTGAATCTTCAAGATGCCCTTAAGTCATGACATCTTTTCTTAAACAGTATTCTGCACTGAAAGAAAAGTGCTTTTATGTTGTATAACTATTATTTATGATAAAATAACTACAGTCAAGGATTCCATGATTATACACTGAGAGGAAAAAAATAGTTCTGGTAACTATATATTGACAATTCTAAAATTTAAATATCTGTAATTAGTTTTCTAGTAAAGTAATAAGATTAAAGTAGTAATATACTAAAAATATAATACTATAAAAATATAATATAATACTATAAAAATATAGTATTCAGTACTGCTTTCGAATTAGTTCCTATTATTTTGTAAAGCTAGTTGTATATAAAACTATAATATCTTTTTTTTCAGTGCTATTCAATTATTACTGCCATAATATAACAGTAATGATACAATTATATTTATAGTTCTACCAACAAATATATAATTGGCACCAAAAATGATTATAAATTATAGTTAAATTATAGTTAAATATTATAGTAACTTCAATAATTTTTTTTTTCTCTTAGTGTAGGCTTCTCTTAGATCTTCTCTTGATCTACAAGTCCTTCAACCATCTCAAGTAGATATTAATTAAAGGAGTCAAGAGCCAGATGCACGTGTGCTCCTTTCAACATCTAGGATCGTTTACCTGAAATGCATCAGTCGCTCGAAGCAAGCTTTAATCTATCTGAACGTTTGATTAAGCCAATTCAAAGGTTTGGGAGGCCATGGATCTATTATGATAAACTAATTGCGTGCGCCTATCGGAGAACATAATGCATCGAGAAAGCGTACGTTATCGCAAACGCGTACTCCATATGGTACGATCGATCACGTGGCAGTAGTAACACAGTGTACACACAGTATATACGTCAGGCTTGCCTGACTAATTAATATACTGAGGATTTTGCTGGTTCGTCGTGCCGAACCAGGTCATCTTACGCCATTCATATAATGGCGAGTCTTCCAACAACGTTTTTCTTTGGTGGGCGACAAGAAGAAATATACATAGAAATAACGTTTTGTCATAAATTCTATGATAACCAAAGCGAATCTAGTTGTGATACCTTTTATTGAAATTATTATAAATCTTTACACAAGTATGATAGAATAGTGAGAATTACTTTAAAATGCGTTGCATGTCTATTACTTAATAACTAAGTAATTACAAATTCTTAATATATTTCGTAAATTAGAAAAAATTTTATTGATTACGCGAAAAGGAAAAGAGGAATAGATTTTACATAGTGAGATGCTCAGGCATGTTGAGCAACTCTGAAAGGTGAGGGTTGAGCCATGAAGATCACCGTGTAACAAGATTATGTATTATTAAAAAAATGAAAGATTATGTGCATTAATCAAATCTTTATTAAAATTTTTATCTTATGTATACTAATTTGTATACTCACTCTTTAAATGTTTTAATTGACAAAATTTAAAAAAAATTAAAAATTTCACTCTTTATAATCCTTATAATATGTCTTTAATCGTTAACATAAAATAAAAAATAATAAGGACAGAGAGAGAGAGATTTCATTTAAGCATCTGAGTTGACATTGTAGGACTTGACCCAACAATAAATCCCATATCGGTGTCGACTAAAATGTTTTTTATAACTAAAAATCCGTAAATAAAATAATAATTTGAACATTAAAGATAAAAAATACACTAATAATTTATATAAAAACAGCACATCTGGTTTATATTAATCGTTTTAATTATCACCAAAAGAATACTCACTTAATAAATTTATTTTTGAAACATGAAAACAAAAAAATGCACGTGTTCAGCTTTTAACAATCACGGTCACGGATTATTCTATTCAGCGCAATAATTTCTATTCTTTGTTCTATCTTATGCAAACATAGACTTATTCATATATTAATATTTTAATTGCTTAGATATTTACATTTCTTAACTTGCTCCTTGGTTCAATTAATCTTGCTCTACCTGATATGCGCAAATGACTAATAAATGTATACAGTAAAAAATATTTTTTGTATTTCTATTAAAACTATTTCACTCAAATTCTTGTTAAAATTTTGTGTTAAATATTTAATGTATGCAAATGTTAATTTAATATAATAAAATTATATTATTTAAATATTTATTTTTAAATAATATTGAACATTCTTTATTGAACATTTTTAAATAAAATGTATGTCAATTTAATATATCATAAATATTAATTTTACTTAAAAAAAATATACTTCCACAATTTGCTTATAAAATATATAATACAATCTGTCGTAGAAACAATAGAAACTTTTGTAATAATTTTCAATTGGAATTTATATTAGATTTTATATTATTATAATAGATGTTAATTAATAGAATATGAGTCTGGATATTCTTGTTTAATATGCATTTGCATAATTTAACTAATTTTCTAAAGAAGTAGAGTAGTCACACTTGTCTTGCTCGTGCCTAACTAAATCGACATTTCTTCTAATTTTTGAATCACAAGTTGTGATTTCGCGAGTAATGCTGTAAAACAAATCGACACAAAATCCGGAATCTGACTTCCGTAATGAGATTTACCGCGGACAGAACAACGTTCATCCTTCGCCAAACGCCGGGTTTATAAATAGGAGGAGGGGTGCAAAGTTCCAAGAGTGCTTTATCATCCGGATCCTGGACTGGCGTATAAAAATAGATGATCTTTCAACGGCGGCAGCGCTTTCATACGCTGTTACGACGCTTCCATCATCGGATCGCTAAACGCATCGCGCCGGAACGCCATTTTCCGCCCGCGCGGGAGCGGATGGATACAGCCAGACGACGTATTGCGAGATGCATTTCTGTTCTCTGCTTGTTTCTCTCCATTCGTTCCGCCAACAAAACTTCCGCGTCCCGAATAGAGTAACTTTTTCCCAATTTGTCATTTACTTCTTTTGCCTAAGAAAATTTTTAACAAATATAAAAACACAAAGTCGTTTAAAAATATGATTCTACTCGCAGATAGAAGTTCTAAAAAGTTTAAAAGTAAATACAACATTTAAGACCGTTTAATGAAATATGTCATTGAAACTTTGTTCGTAAATTTTATAGTTCTTCTTATCATGGGCAGAAATTTGTAATTTTATGGCATGCGGAGTACTAACATTGTGAGAAGAGGGGAGGCGAGTAGTAAATGTCGGATTGATTTTTTTTTTTTCGTATATGTACAAATATACATATATATGTAATATATATTACATCCGTACAATTGTCATTTAATGAAAGAATATTACAAATTATTATGCATACCATGAAAATTTTAATAAAGATTAATATAGCACATAATCTTATCATTTTTTAAAATAATACATAATCCGATTATCTTCATGGCTTAACTTACCTTTCAGGGTTGCTCCATGAATGAGAGTCATTAAGCCACTTTGTTTCTTTATAAATACCAAAAATTTTTACTTATTTACGAAATATATAATACAAATAATATTTATAAATACTTAATTATTGAGCACAGATGGACATATAACGTTTCAAAGCAGTTCTCATTGCTCTATCATAATTGTTGTGTGAAGATTTATAATAATTCCAATAGAGAGAGAATATTGATATGAATCTCAGATTATTCTGTTTGATCTAATTACTTGCTATTTGTTATTTTTCAAAAGTAAATGATGGATTAAGAGAGAGAGAGAGAGAGAGAGAGAGAGAGAGAGAGATGAGAATAAAAAATTGATTCGACGGAATCTCAGGAATTCTCGAAACGTAGAGTGAATGAACATTGGTAATTTATCAGACATTTTTATTATCCTAATGTTTTCTAGTACCGGAATATCCGTCTCCATCTGTGCGATTTATGTACCCACATGTATACGCACGCACACATGATCATTCGTATTTTCGGGCCAAAGACCAAAGAGTAAATCAACCAAAGAGTGCAAGGATGCATGGATACGGAGAGGGAAATCCTCGGGTAAGGGATTCGATGTTCGACAATTTGTTCAGAAGACGTCCATTCCCTTTGATCCCTTTAATTCACGATAAATGTCCACCGCAACCTCGGGGCACGATTGCTCTTCCTTTTTGCTATAGCATTCTGCAAACGTATTCGTGCTGGTCACGCATTGTGTTGTGACCAATGCTCCGTTCTTCAAGCTCACCAAACGTACGCGCGAAAACGTTTCCGCGAAAATATTAGGTGTTGGAATTAATTCGTAGCGTTTTACAAGTGATGGGAAGTACTTTCATTAATGTATTTTTTAATGCTCATGTGAAATAAATAACATTCTTTCATTAAAAAACGCTACGAATTAATTCCAACACCTAATAGAAAGCGAAAAGTCGCTGGAGGAGGCAGAAAATTTATAGCTCTCCTTTCAGCCGGTTCCGCATATTCTGGGTACTTCGGAAGGTTTCACCTCCTCCTCCTCTCTTGGGACAGAGTTTCTCTAAATGTACGCGCTCGTTTCTCTTCAATGAAAATTTAATGTATCAAAAGCATATGAGAAAATAGGTGATGAGAAAATAGACTAATCTGAAGATAATTCATTCAAAATGTTTTCTTACATTAAAAGTGACGCAACTAAAAAAATGTGATTTTTTAGTTGTCATATTATAAATGAGTTAGACAAAGATTTACTCTATCAATCATCAAAAGTAATTCGCAGTCTACTCATCAAATAGTACTCGTATCGTTTTTAAGGTTTTTAAAGAGATTATAGCACCTTCTATACAGAAGTGACACATTTGAATTGTGTTTATAAATAAAAAGGAGTCTTCTACAAAGAACATTCAGAATTAAGATAATTTTAATGATCGAAGTTTGAAGAAGAAATTATTTTATTTATTTCAAAAATTCAGTCATTTTAATTGATTAAAGTAAATACAACTATTGATGATATTTCGAATTATGTTACTTTTAATCAATTATTCTGGATTTGTTATAATTTTGTTAAAATATCAAAATTCATAAAAAGGATAGTTCTTTTAAGAGTTGTGTGAAACAAAAATGACATAAATGACATTCGATTATGTTTCTGAAAAAATATTTTTTTTTGTCAATATTATTTGATTAATTAGTAATTTTCTGTTAAATTGAAAAATGGTTTTTCTTTTTTCTGAAAAACTTTATTTTTTTAGTTACTTTACTTTTAAAGTAAGGGAACAACATAATAAATGAGATAAACGTGGCATAATACATTATAAACTTTGTTACAATTTGACAGTTTTGTTACGACAAAACAGTCGATTTTTAATTATTTTTTGCCCTGATATTAATTTATTAATTGTTGTAATAATAGATAAATCAACCTCGTGTATACAAAGCAATCAGGAAAAGTCATAGGTCAAAACGAATAATGAATAAGGATGTTTGAATAAAATTAAATATATTATATAACTTGTTTTCAAATAATTGAATAAATAATTAGTTTATAGAAAGTTTCAATTGTACTAATTTTACGCCTTTATCGGCATAAATATTAAAATAATCATAAAGAAATTTTAATAACAAAATAAAAATAAATAGGTAAATGGAAATTAAACGTGATAGAATTGAAGAGAAATTAAATAAATTACAAACAAACAGAAAATTAGATTAAAACAAAAAAATTATATTAAAAGTTAGAAACATTGTCGCGTGTTAAATAGAACATGATAACATTTAAACACCTGTTAAGCCACAATAAAAATATAATAAATTGAGTCAATAGTCAAAAGGAACTATTGAGAATATATTTGAGATAAATAGTTTCTCAATAGCTCTTTTAACCATTGACTTAATTTATTATCTCTTTTTATTATGCCGTAATGACAGACATTTATTATTACTTTCTATGTTTCAAAAATGCGACAATGTTTCGATCAATTTTTAAGAATGTTTCAATAAAATAAAATGTGATTTATTGTAACAAACATGTAATAAATTACATATTTTATTTTATTAAAATGTTTTTAATGCTTGTTTTTCTGCCATTGACCCCAATTAGCAGAATTCTAATCAACACATAAGACAGTTTTAAGATTAATATCATTTATAATTTTTTTATGCACTATCTTAAAGAAATTTTAAAGATATCTTAAAGTTATCTCATGCGTTAATTTTAGACATTCTGCTTATTGGGATCCATCTAAAATAAATATTATGATTTTTTAACAAATTGTTTCCAGTTCTTTAATAAATTGTAATAATATCGTTGATTTTATGATAAAATAATTGTAGTATCACGATTGTACTGAGTGATTTCATATCTCATTTAGACTTGAATTGATTAAATCAAATTCACTCCACTTCCTTTCGAATTATTTCTAGCGAGGGAAAAAAAGTGTAGAGAAAGGAAAGCCTCTGTAATTTTCCGAGTGACGGTGGAAATGCTATAAGAGGAAAATCAACGCATAAGAGGGAACAGAAAGTTCTTTCGCGAAGCCGGATTGAATACTATAGAATTAATGTAACGAAGTAGCCGACTCAATCGTCAGAGCTAAATCCAATCGAGGCTTCGCGGATCGATGACGAAGAAGGCCTGCCGAGTAAAAGATAGAAACTAGTCTCTAGCTTGCAATTAAGAATAGGTAATTGCAAGTGTATTCTATTGGAATGTTGCGCACAAACGCATCTACTCAAAGCTTTATGCGGGATACTTCCGATCTATAAAAGCTTTTTTTCAACTCTCTGCATCGCGTAATGAATCCCGCAGGTACACTGAATTAACTTTCTTCGTTACACGCAGACCTTTGAAGACACCGATCTATATTGCTTTTGCGTTACCCTGTTTCACTTCCTTTATTGGATTGTCCTCCAATACATTCTAGAATGTCAAATTCGATATAATAATAATTTGTCGAATGTAAATTAACATGCGATCATATTAGATTAATTAGATATTAAATATCAAGTTTGAGCAATCGGTAATTTCTATTACAAAAAGTTTCGAAGATATATCGAATACACGAAGAAGCAGAGATCCAAAAATGTTTAAAGTTGTATGTGTAAAAGTTTCTCGAATAAAAAGGGATCGAAATTGCAAGATATACGACGAGTTTAAGAAAGATTTGTATTACTTTGTCAGCTTTAAGCTTAACTCTGAAAAATGAGTTTAATCAAATAAATTATAATTATAATTTGAAAAAAAATATTGTAATATCGATAGATACAATGGTTGTTATTCCGTGGAAAAATTAAGTATCTACATAGAACTTCTTCGGAATTAGGCAAAAAGTAGAACACCATTTGTCAATTTCCACTTGCAAGCCCGGTGAAAAAAGGACGCGAATGAGAAAGAAAGCGACCAATGATTTATTTCGGAAATGCACGCGAAGCCGCGTTCTTTCGAGGATGGATTCCCGAACACTTCATTCGTAATAACGTCTTTTTTTGTGTCTTCACTTATTTTTGCTAAAACTTATTTGATTCCCTCTCGACAGAGGGATCGAAAACGTCATTCTGAATATTACTCATAACGTGACCTATAAATTCTTGATCGAAAAATTTGCTTTCTTGTTTATATTCCAAGTTATCGTATAAAATATTCCAAGTGTAAGTTCAGATATAAAATGTCAAATTTTTTCGTCACGTAATTTGTTTCTTTCCTAACAAGTTTTAATTTTCTTAAGTAAATTTGTTTTACTTTGAATTTTTTATTTATGTCGGAGATTAAAACATAAAATTATTTCGAATTATTTCAAAGAATTCGAAATTTGATTGGACTGTATAGAGAACCGGATGAAACGAAATAGATTTTTACGTGTGCCATTCATAATGATTTTAAAACCTTTAGCCGAAAATCCCTGCGCAAGACATCGTAGCGATAGAATTCGAAGAAGGATAAAAAAGAAAAGGGAGAGTCGAACGAGCCTCACTGATCAACGAGAATTAAAGACTGTGCGCTGGTGTCCCCGGAGAAATTCGATATATCGATCTTCATTCCCCGTCATCCGGAGGACAGGCAGAATAAAAGTAAAAAGAAAACTACAGTCGATGTTCAATGAGCCATAACATAAGTCGAGCAGATGTAAAAGCCGATTCACAATATGATACGGACGACGTACTACATTGTCATTCAACTCTCTTCCTATATCCGAAATTATTGCATTTTTATTTTGCGATCAGTTCGTCTTATTGCGGTTTTTCTATTTCACAATTCTTCGTAGACAACACACACAAAATTAATGTTTCCATTATTTAAAATATAATTAAAAAACAATTGACAAAGAAGTGCGGTAATTTTTTTTTAAGTTATTGATTAAGAATCTTTCAATATTATTCAATATTATTTGAATACCATTTAATCTTCGTAATATTAATTACTTACACTTCTTATTCATATTAATATTGCGGCTTTTACATAAAATTTCGACAAATATTTCATAATAAATTGAAAGTCGGACATGCCAGTTATTACAAATATTAGGCACTTCTTCA